ACGGGACTCGAACTCGCAATCTCCCGCTTCGTAGGCGGATGCCTTATCCATTGGGCCAAGGGGACACTTTTGACTTCATGTCATCCCATATTTATTACGATCATTACTTAGCCACCAGCAAGTACGAAGAGCGAATTAAGTTTAAGACGGCTTCTGGATAACTATGACGCCACTCACAGATTCATCAATATTCATTTTGTCACTTCTTTGATGAACCGGGCAATCAAAGTTAAAAAGACCGATCCTTTGAGGGCTAAAGTCTCACGAGTGACTTCTACCACCACAGTCACAAGAGCCTATAACTGCCCCAACAGACCACCTTGCACCTACTGGGTTCCGGGGTCTCCCGAAGGCTTCGTGGTATTGGTACCACTTGACTCGGAACCATCACGACGAGAACCATATTGTGCGGTTTGCATCTCACGTGGACAATCACAGCTAGTGTGACCGAATGTTTGACATTTATAACAGCGAACTTGCTGCTTACAGACAGTCACCACGCTAAGATTTATTGGTACCGGAACTTCGGTAGCAGCAGTCACTGCTCTCATCAAATTGACCACATGCTTGACACTGACAGTAGTACTCACACAATGCAAGTATGATTGCATCTTCCAGAGTCGTCGGGCTTTGGTGGGAGACTTCAGTCATAGGAGGACCATAAGTGAGTCTTTACATAAACACAGGGACCATCACTGCCTCTAGCTATGGTTTGCTTGCCATACTGGCACGAAAAAACGGAGCTTCTGTACGACTATGTACAATGTGCCGTTGATTTGACGGCGTTAGAAAAACTTTGACCGCTATCGAAATGCCACATTTACGTTGATTCTATAACTCTTGGTATGTGGCAAGTAGCCAGGACAATTAACTTCCCATGCCATCGCCCAATCTTTCGCACGGCCATGTAAATGTGACATGGCAAAGGCCACTTGACTAAGGTCATCACGAATTTGAGTCTTCAGGATAGCGAGAATCATTTCTCGCTACCAGAACCCAAGCAGTTCATCTTTGTTTCCGTGAAACTTTTTCGCCTTGATTTTCACGGTACGTTCCATGTGTATCGACGGCGTCACCAGAAGGTGGTGGAAACGGCGTCAGTATGTTATGCGATAGAAATCCCAATAATTCCTGCTCATACACAGCAAAATTTGCTAAGCGTTGAGTCATCGCCCTTTGATCCAATTGAAGCATATCAAAGACCGTGTGATACAACAGAATTGGAAACGTATATACAACTATACGGGGTGTACAGTAAATGTAAGACACAATATGTGTAATGGAACCTAAACAATTAGTCTCACCAGCTTGATGAGTAGAAAACAACTCTTGACTAACGACAAGGTGATATGTATAGCGTTCGGGTTTGATGCAATGCATGTTGCGTCCTTATATGCTTTGAGATTGAAGTATTTGTGACACACACATGTCGGTGTCTTGAAGCGCATAGTACTTTTGCAACCCGTTTCCTTATCCCAGAGTTTGCTGAATAATAGCACTTGCCCATTTGTTGATCAACGCGTACTGCCCCCCCATTTTGAGACCTTCTAGTGCGGTGTAACGGGGTAACACGAACCCTGGTAACAAGGGTGTGTGTCACACGAGATGGGCATGGTGTGACTGCGCCCAAATAAGAATACGGTACGTGGCTGGGTAACCAGTAGTTATGCATGTATTTAGATTTTACTATATATTTTTGGAAAAATCTGTACATTTAAATTAAGGCGGCTTTGCCGCAGATAAAACAAATAAATACAGCTTACATTTCAAACAGAAGAGTTTATTAGCCTTGGTTTAAGGTTCTAACTACTCTTGGATGTAGCGGATTGCGATCCACTACACTCGTACTGGTTCTCGTGAAGAACGTAAGGTCGGTGACCTAAATTACGCTTCCTCTAAGAGCAAAGCTACGGCAGCCCCGCTGCATGCGGAATATCGCACGTGGTATTTTATTGCGCTACACTCCGTAGCAAAAAAACAGACTCAATCTCGTTACGAATGCTATCAATGCGCTAAGTGTGCGACGCTATGACTGTGAGCCGCAGTGAATAAACTGACTGAAGAGAGCGTAGTCGAAAGAATTCAATCCAATGCTGTGAGCCTTGCGACAAATACAGTAACTGTGGTCTACACGACTGAACTTCATCAACATTATATCAATTACGGTCGTAGTTACAAAGAGATCAGGTTTCACACTCGGCATTCCGATAAGAACACGTCCTGTGAGTTACTTGGATATGAGCGTTATCCTATGATTGCAACGCCGTAGAAATCTACTAATCATGTATGCCTATGCTTTGCGGTGTCGTCTTTTTATATAAAGGCAGCCAAACACAGTAAGGGATCAAGCATATCAATGAAAGCAAGCTAATTCACGTTGAATCATCACTAGTTATTCTACTGACAGTAACTACAGTAGCTAACCCACTGTGCTCACCTCAGTTTAGCAGAATCAAAATCCATGAGGGAAAGCCATCAAGTTTTCAATCGTGACACACAAGTCGCGTGGATCAGTCCAACTGATAACTGTACGCCTTGGCGTCTCATTTCAGCAATTCTTTCTTATTTCTGATGCCAACACCTATAGAACCCGATAATAAATGATGTATAGGCAATCGTCGGGACAACAAAAATGGCCACGATTCTACTGAATAGATCGTCGGATGTAAAAACTATCAACTTTTTCTCTGCAGAGCTACCTTAGATATCTACAAACTTATCACTTTTTAATTAGAAGCTCTGAATTAGCGTACCATCCACAACGTTTTCGAGATTTGGCAGATTTAAATGCTTGATTTGGACTAGTTCAAATTTCTTTCAAAACGGATAGTGTGGCAAAATGAAGTAGCAAACCATCGCAGCTTTTCTTTTTCCCCTAAAATCGTTAAACGTAAAGTAGGACGATCGACCATATCGTCTATCCGTGACACATAAAGTAGTTGACGACAGCCACGAACAGCAATTGCGCAATAAGGTTAGCACGAATACAACCTTATGGCCACCTCTATCAAATAATGCAAAATTTAATACAAGTCGTTGTCCTGTTTATAGCCTTCAAACTCAAAGTTACTTTCAGCCAAGAGAACAGTGCTAAGTTAGGTTCTTTAGCATTTGTGTTTTTCTGTCCATCCATCTGTCCTATCCAGATAAAAGGTCGCAATGAAAAAGCATTCCTTGATTGTCGAAGCATCGATAATGGCGATCGGACTTTACATGCAACGCGTCACAATAAGACAGCAAGATTGATGTAATGGGATAAGCTGCTCTCTCAGGTGCTCTGTAAACGCCTGCTTGCGTCTCTGTTCGCATTCAAGTATGAAATTATATTCTCTCATTGCCTTTGTCAAGGATGGTTGACATTAGGTAATTTCACGAGGACAAAACTCGAAAATCAAACGCATTATACACTCTTAAACTATCCACGCACTGCACACATTTATCGCAAATAATGAAGTTCGTCAGTAGTCTTGTTCTTACTGCTGTAGCAGTCACGGCCGCAAACGCTACCAACTCAAACAACCTTCGCTCAGAGAATTCCCACGCCTCAGATCCTACCACTGAAGGTGACTTTGATTGGCTATTTGAAAGCCCTGCAGACGTCCCGGCCAGCAAGAAAAACTTTGGCGAAAGCGACGTCAAGAGTTTCGATGCTGGCTCGAGTGTCAACGATATGGCCTGGCTCTTTGGTGACACTCACGTGGACATCCTTGCTGATATGAAAGACAAGAGTAATCCTGAGTCGGACGAAATTGAAAGGAAGAGAACCGTGAGTGATCCAATGTTTGAAAACATGGATCAAATTTTGCTGGCAGATACGATGGACGCAACTGATTCGAGCATTAAACAATTTCCTTTGGAAGACTTTCCACTGTTTGGCGACAAAAAGTCCGAGCCTAGTGACTCTCTGCTGACTGACGCCAACACTCTTCCTTCATCCAATGTCCTCAACCTAGATCTAGATCTAGCGAAGCTTATGAAATCACCCATCGCATCGGATAATGATGGCATATATGCGGAGGGTAACAAAATGGAGTCCCCGCCCGACAGCCAACACTTCCTATTCTTGAATGATCCTACCGAAGATCAGATCAAAAATCTTGATTCAACCACAGGGGAGTCGATTCACACCGATGACGACTTCTTCTTGAGTACTGACTTCGGTAGCCGTTCTCCTAAGGCGACGATCCCTACCATGACAGATGACACCTCGTTCACGTCCACTCCTACAACAGGGTTCGGCAAATTTGGAAGCATGATCAACGACATTATTGGAGCAATTACGACTGAGTTATCTCTCTTGAGTATGTATGAAGCTTTGAACGGATTGTTAAGCAATTTGATTGCTGATATCAGCAAGGGCACATTTCAGCTGACAAATGATGCTAAAAGTCTGACCACAAAGTCAACAGAGAAGAATCAATTGATTGACTTGACTTACGGGGACGAGCAGGAGAGCATGATTAATAAATTGCTTGACATGAACGACCCGACCCCTGTCAAGAGCACTGGATTGAAGAGAACAGTCCTATTCGTTTCTGAGTCCGCTCTTCGATTTGACGATCCACTTCAAATTAAGTCTGATTCAATTGAGGAAAGCCCACTGCAAGTCGAGAGAGCTTAAACAAGAAGAATATGTTTTGGTATTGCTTCGTGCGTGAGGTAGTTGGAAGTTCCAGTAGCGTTATGCATCAATAAAAATGAATTTTAAATCAAGTGATACGGTAAAGTAACGCACCAGATTTTAGTTTTGTAGCTTCATTGTGGGAACATTAAACAGAGTAGGTAATTTAGTAGCCAAAACTCTAAATTGAGCTGGTGCTGATCAGTCATGTTTTGAGGCTATGTGGTTATACTCTTTATGAACGAGGTTGAGAGTTAAAATGAAGGCATTTCATGCTTTTTGCAGGGCTAAGACACAACGAAATGTTGGCTTCCGTTTTGACGATATCAAGGATGACATTGATGACTGACTGGTTTGCAAGTTAATGTTAGCAAGCCAGGCGATGACATGAACTTTACTTAAAAGGTAATTTCTGTATGACGCACGAGAAATGCACATGCGCATCAGACATGTGATGCTTGCTCCATACCGTGCATACATTATATACAAGAAATGACTACTAAACACTCTTTCAAAAGGATTTTTTTGTATAAGCACCTTACCACAAGAGTCAATTAGCTTTCATGTACAGAGCCTACTCAGAACGTTGTGGGATATCATGATGGTAGCGTCTGTTATGCTGCGAATCACCACCTGTTTCTATAGTTTTGAGAGGCTGTAAGAGTCATAAGATGGAACATATGGCCATCGAAGGGTACGGGGATCAGCATCTTTTATTGCCTTGTAAGAAAGCAAGCGTACAAAATCGTTTCAGAGGTGACTGACTGGATATATCTGCAATATGTATTGAAAACGTATGGAGAGGTCCGAGACTATGCGAAGTGACGACACGTTTTGATTTTTTGCTGCATTCATGCTAAAACTTGCAATTATCTGCTCAGCAATGTCAACAAGATTTTTAACATTTGCCGGCGCTAAAATGTTGACGACGGCAAACATTCTGATAAAGCAGAAATTTTTAGCAGATTTCAATTAAAGGATGGCGTATGTATGCCAGCGTTAATTCGTAAGACGTTGGGCGAATGACATTTTAGGGTCTGCGCGGTTTACTCGAGAAGATGCAGTACAGCTCCTTAGAAAACCCATTGAGTCAATCAAGGAGGTGCTAGCTCACCAGATTGGTGATCGAATTCTTACAGTAAACAGCAGAGAAAGAAAGTATTGTGACAAATGGCTTAAGAGCTACTTCAAATGGACGATTGCATTTGAGTCTATAGCTTAGTATAATTTCTCTCATCAAGTCGTGTGAGATATTTGGCTGATATTGGGTTTTTATTTTGTCATGTGCTGCAAAGTCATCTTGATGTTGAGCAAAATGCGGCATATTCAGCTACAGCTTCAACACCTTGCAAAATTATAATCCTTGCAGCTACCAAGGGTCATTACCACACTTTTTGACTAGTTAGGTAGCTTCATCGTTGTTGTCGCTCTCACGTATATGTCAACTTTCAAAGTATCCTACTACATTCAAATGCAGCTACCCCAAAGCGATAGTTGACTGCACATAATAGTGGTGAAATTGATCACAAATGGGGTCGCTGATGTTAGTCATCAAGCATTATTGTGCTGTACTAGTAAATTAAGCCCTTGGGTACGACCAAACCAGTAGATGTTTTAATCAATGACTTCTTCCAAATAGCTGCTACATCTCAATTAATAATTCAGAAAGTCCGCTGGATCTTTCCGGTTGACTTTTGATAGATCCAAGAGCCATTAGTCCACAATTGGATACGACAATGACCGTGACACGCTAGGCTTAGATTACTTATTTTGAAAGCTCGCAAACGTGGTGCGTCCTTGCCTACTGAACAGACCAACCGTTGACTAAGAATCTAAGGGAAAGCACGGCTAACTTTGACAGGAAAATATAAGTGCTGCGTGTGCATTGCCTCTCCCCTCCTGTATGGATCTAAAGCAACTGACGATGTATTTCGAATGATTACGGGCGTTTCAAATACATGGTGGAACATCGTCTTGTTTTGAACGGCTGAGTTATGAATCTACAGCTAGAGAGTGCGACTGTCAATACGATTCTTTGAAAAGCTAAAAGAAGGGTGAAATACAAGTAGCCGTTGTCACATTCACATCTAGACTCTACGATCGTCCGAGTTTGACACAGCATTCACATTGGCGAGGCATTTTAAGTTCGTCAGGCTTTGGTTGTCCCAAAGTGAACCGCGTAAGTGTTCATTTAATCAACAAATCGTGTTTTGAGGGAAGAATGGCTAGCGTGTCTAAAAGCACGATAAATATGCGATTGTAAGCACGGCGATTCGTCCATGGGTTGTCCATGATTCATGTAACTCAGATATGTGTAATCAATTAATCAAGCGCGCTAGTAAGTTAGCTCACGACGTTTTCCAGGCCCTTGAAATATGTATCGAACAATCACAGAAAAAATGAATTGACACCACGTGCTACAGCGAACTTGCCGATCACAGTATCGCTGACCGTCATAAATGTCATGACTCAAACGTATCTAGATATGTCAGAGCAACCCAAATTCGGCTTGTGTAACAGTCACCTGGTGTTTCGAATCGCGTTCGAACATAAAAGGCAGAGCGGTCAAGATGTGGACTCGTTGCAATGTCTCAAAGTGGGAACAAACATCATCTCATGAAGAGACTGGGCATCGACAAGATGCCCACGCCGAAGTTGTTCAAAGCATCCATTCTCTATTTCAAGTTTTTCATCAACGTTTTGGCCACTGAGTCTTTAGAAGTGTCACAAGTTTTGTTGGGATGACATTCTACGTTTACTTAACCTTGATACTGCTCTGTAGGTAAAGCGGAAAATCGTATATTTATTTAGTATGGACATAGCGCGATCTGTCATACGTAATGTTGGGATTAACGTGGTTTATACTATAAGAACAGGTAATTCCACTGCATTGACGTTGCATTGGTACGCATAAACTGTGCTACCCAAATTTCACAATTACTTTCCATCGTTCTGACCGAAATATTACAATATCGTTGGTCCATAATTTTGCCTTAAAGTCATCGCTATTAAAAAAACAGAAACAGAAAGCAAGTAGGCTAGAAATGGATGCATGTTTCTTGATAGTTCTGAGAAATGTTGACGTACACATCATTGTTGGTTCCTCTTCAGGGTTTCGTAAGCAAAAGTTATAATTTGACTTTGTAAAATTTCTCAAAAGATTAAAATTCTAGTCACCCAATAGTTACTATTAAGCTCGTAGGTTTTCTGTCAGGATGGGGAAGCTTGCAGGATTATTGTCGGGATGGGATGCTTGCAGGATTCATCTTGGGATGGGACCAAAAGTCAGTTCGAAAGCGCTCATTCTTTGATCTGCAAGCCCCTCTCATCCTCGCTCGTCTTGGCATGAAGATAGCAAGTAAAAGTCTTTTACTAGCGGCGCTCGCCGTCACGGCTGCCCACGCCGGTAGTCCATATCTGCGCTCATCGGGCTCGGAAGGTCTTGAAGACGAGTTAAATGATTTTGAAAATGAAGACATGACTGTTAAAGGAGGCAAGACGAAACCTACGTCAGATGACATGTTATCGGGATTCATTTCGGATAAAATTGACATCTCAGACACTGCATTAAGCAATGACGCCACAAAGAAAATGTTTTCGAAGAACAGCCCGATCATTACTGATGTTAATGCTGGTAGTACGGGTAAAGACGTGGATGAACCTTTCCTTCAGATGGAAGATGCTCCGATAGAGTCTACCACCAACAAAGATGACGACACCTTAGCTATGAAGTCGACCGTGTCGGATGACAACATTGGCGATGGTAGTATGACTGACAATTTGGCAAACAATCCATTTCAGATGGAAGATGTTCCAAGTGAGTCTACAACAAACGATGACGACGATAGCTTAGCCACAAAATCGGCTATGACAGACGATGACAATGTAGTTGGAAGCATGAGTGGCGACAATCTTAACGATTCAGTTTCAGAGGATGATATCCGAGACTGGTTTCCCAAGGAGATGTTAGGCCCGGACAAAGGCATTTTTTTTGAGAATATGTTGAAAAACATGCTTGACCCCAGCCGTGAGCAGAAGCCGGTCAAAATTGGTGATCACTCCATCCTATTCAGCGTGTCTGACGACGGTAGCGACGTGTCCATGCATTGGGATGTTGTTCCGGAGGATTTCACAGCTAATAGCGACGACAACAGCTTGGCCGCGGAATCAATTGTGATGGATGATAACATTGACGATGGTAGTATGACTGACAATTTGGCTAACAGTCCATTCCAGATGGAAGATGTTCCAAGTGAGTCTACAACAAACGATGACGACGATATATTAGCCACAAAGACGGCCATGACAGACGATGACAATGTAGCTGGGAGCATGACTGGCGACATTCTCGACAATCCACTTCGGATGGATGATGTCTCGGACGAGCCTAATCCTGACGAATTCATGGGCTCGGACAGCGACCTTGATCTAGAAAAAATTCTCAATACCGTCACTGACCCCAGTCGTGAGGTAAAGACGCCCAACTTTGACAACGACTTTGTCGCATTAAACATGGCTAACGACGGTAGCAACACTCCCCTTCAGAAGGATGATGTTTTGGAGGATTCCACAAACAACATAGATGACGACAGCTTAGCTACAAAGCCGACCGTGACTGATGACAACATTGGCGATGGTAGTATGACTGATAACAATCCATTCCAGATGGAGAATGTTCCAGATGAGTCTACAACGAACGATGACGGCGATATCTTAGCCACAAAGACGGCCATGACAGACGATGACAATGTAGCTGGGAGCATGACAGGCGACATTCTCGACAATCCACTTCGGAAGGATGATGTCTCGGACGATCCAAATACTGACGAATTCATGGGCTCGGACAGCGACCTTGATCTAGAAAAAATCCTCAATACCGTCACTGACCCCAGTCGTGAGGTAAAGGCGCCCAACTTTGACGACCACTTTGTCTCATTAAACATGGCTAACGACGGTAGCAACATTCCCCTTCAGAAGGATGATGTTTTGGAGGATTCCACAAACAACATAGATGACGACAGCTTAGCTACAAAGCCGACCGTGTCTGATGACAACATTGGCGATGGTAGTATGACTGATAACAATCCATTCCAGATGGAAAATGTTCCAGATGAGTCTACAACAAACGATGACGACGATATCTTAGCCACAAAATCGGCTATGACAGACGATGACATTATAGTTGGAAGCATGAGTGGCGACAATCTTAACGATCCGATTTCGGAGGATGATATCGCAGACTTGCTTCCTAAGGAGATGTTAGGCCCGGATAAAGGCGTTTTTTTTGAGAATATACTGGGTATCGTGCTTGACCCCAGCCGTGAGGAGAAGCCGGTCAAAATTGGTGATCAATCCATCCTATTCAGCGTATCTGACGACGGTAGCTACAATTCTATTCGCTGGGATGATGTTCCGAATGATTCCACAACTAACAGCGACGACAACAGCTTGGCCGCGATATCAATCTTGATGGATGATAACATTGACGATGGTAGTATGACTGACAATTTGGCTAACAATCCATTCCAGATGGAAGATGTTCCAAGTGAGTCTACAACAAACGATGACGG